GAGGGGCCACTGTGTTTGGTTCAGTACATGAGCAATATCTCAGCAAATAGAAAAGACAGGAGGTTCTTTTTCTTTATTCTAGCTTGTCAATAATGGTAATTTGAGTTTCTAATTCGTATGAACTATAAACTTAGTGTTTTGACATCATAAACATCTAATTTGAAGCAATGCTGCATTCATCATACCACGTAACACACAAAAATCGACATTTAGGGGTGTTTTTTTAATATTTACTTTTAAATTAAGAAATTAACTAATTTATAATATTAAAATTTGGATTATAATCAACAATTTGATGCCAAACATATTGTCATAAATTCATGAAATAGTAGTTTAATAAAATTTTGAATGTGAGTCAATATGCTCATGCCTTTTGTTTTTTACAGCGAGTTCCTGCTGCCATGATCTACAGTGCAGAATATGAGAAAGCCCTAGCAACACTGATAATTTTACTTTCTCCTCTTGCACCACACTTTGCTTCTGAACTGTGGAAAGACTTTAGAGAATATGCTTCCCAAGATGTAGGAGACTATGATCTGGTAAGTAAAACAAACTTAATTTGCTGTTGACTCATTATTATTATAATTAAAGGTTTAATTGATGTGGAAATCTGTGACAAAGTATTTTATACTGTTAACTGTGTGTTTCCATACTAGTATTTGTAAGATTAGCTATTGTAAATGATGTAGAACGTACTAGTAATGTTCCTTAAACTTGCCATAATATATCCTTCTCTCCACAAGCATGTTTTTTTTCTGTGAAATTAAAATTTAATTAAACTACTTTCTTTTCATTGTATACCAATAAATATAGCATAAAACCTAGCTAATAATCCATATTTTAGTAGTATATAAGTTTTAAGTTCTGACTTTTATAAGGCAATATTAAAAAAAAATCTAGAATTTCCCCTAGTGTGAGAATTGTGACATTTGCTCTCTATGCATCTCCTCTTCTCTAATTTATTTACCACCCCTCCAAGAAATACGAAATTTAACATGAAGTACTCGTTATAATGTCATTATCACTCAAAGCATAATTTTCATAGCCTTTAATCTTATTTGTTTACAGAACCATCAAATAGAAAATCAGATCCCTTATGCTATTTCTACCTGTCACATCCTCTCTTTCAGAAATTGTCAATACTATATCATTTATAACCAATAGAAAGCCAAGGTTTAACACTATTAAATGAAGTATTATATTACGTTGCCTTTTGTACAGAGAATTGTCAGTTTCACCTTCAGTTCAAGCTTTATTCCTATGGGAAATGCATCGACAAGCTTGGATGAATCTGTAATGTATTATATTACATTGCCTTTTGTACAGAGAATTGTCAGTTTCACCTTCAGTTCAAGCTTTATTCCTATGGGAAATGCATCGACAAGCTTGGATGAATCTGTAATGGCTTTTGTTGCATAGTTAGAAAGCTAGAGAAATTGTGGTAGTTAGGGCACACCGTCTACTCTTTGCATGTTATTATTCTGTTTTCTTTGGTGCATTATTTAATTAAAAAAAAATTATTTTGTGCAGTACTGTCATTTGTATAAAAAGAAAAATAAAGGCCAAGGTAAGTACTTCTTGTTTTTCATGCGTACTATTTATTCATTATTATAAAAGTAACTAAAATGTTTTAGGTTAAATTAGATAAAATAAATTATAATAATATAATAAATTTTTGATGAGGTATGTTCATGAGTAGCTAATGCGTAGTTATGTAGTTAAATAGCATAATGTGAGCTGCACGTTTGCCAAGTGATTTACAATTTATGATGGTGGAAATAGCAGTTACACAATAAAAAATATAATTTAACTGTAAATAGATGTATATCGTTATGGAGTTTAAAGCTATTTAGGATAAACAAATGTTGTTTTATGTTATATTTTGAAGTCATTCTAGAGAGAAAAGGGTAATTTAGATGCATTGAATTTTTTTTTTTTGTGGTTAAGAGATTGGTCAAATTGACCAACCTTGTATAGAGTTAGGGTAGAGAAAATAGATAAAATATAGAGATTACGAAATATTTTAAATCTTAACATGGAAATCACTGTACTCGGAATAGTAAAAAAAATAAATATATATATATATATATATTCAGAGACAAATCTTTAGTAAAATACTTAATCAAAAAATCTGATCTTTTGTGTACAGGAGACTTGTAATGTGTACTAAAAGTCTACCAAATTTTGTGAAGATGCGCCTACTGTATTAAAAGTTATAGTATGGTTACAAGATCGGTCAAATTGACCGACCTCGAAGCAGGACAGATATACATTAATAAAAACTTTAAACAGACTTATGGATAGTTTTTAGTTGAAAAACTGCATTGAGACAGCTAATACTGGTGTTTTATTTCAGGATAAGAATGTTCTTGAACAGAAGTGGCCCGAGGTCGACATGAGCTACTGTTTGGACTTGGTCATTAAGGTAGGTTTCCAGAGGACTGAACTTTGTAAGAGCCAATTAATTTAGCTTATTTTCCAACATCTGTTGGAGTAATAATTTTTAAAAACTAACTTTCTGCTTACATATTTTTTGGATCTTATAAAAGCAATCTACCTATTTAAATAATAAAGTATGTACTGGGAGTATGTAATGATTAGAATGCACTGATTTTTGATTGGGTACTTTCAGTGTTAAGTAGAAATTTAAAACAGCTTTAAACTATACGAATAAAGCCTGATTAGCTTCTTTGTCCCAGCTAGCCTTCATCAGAGATACAAGTGCCCCAGTATCTATCTATCTAAAAATATATAAAGGACAAAAATCTGTTATTTAACTACTTCTAGGTTGCTAGGCCAAACTTTGGAACAAGGGGCATGTTAATGGAGCGTTCACAACCCTCTCCACCCCCCATTACTGCTGTTATTGAGTTAGCTACATTCATAGAGGGTGCCACATCCTTACACGAAAAACAAACTTCATTAGGTATTATATAACACGACATACCCATAGTGTGTGTGTGTGTGTGTGTGGGGAGGCACACAAATGTCTTATATATCTAGCATTCTTTATGGAGGAATGCAATTAAAAAATTGGCTGTCACTTTTACAATACTACATTACATAAACTCAGCTAAAGTTCCTACTCCTACATCCACCATAAGGTCGATACGAATAGCCGTTCTTGAGTTATGCCCACTTTCTACTTTGGCCCATGACTGTCAATTATGTGAAACACTGTGGAAGGACGTGATAGCTAGGTGTTGAAAATTTTTACAGAAAGAATACCTGCCACTGTCTATTCCTACAAAGTCACCCTGACCATCATGCAGCATATACATAGAGTTCTTAAAGCTTTTGGAGAGAAAATAATGTGTTATTCGTCACAGTAGTCAACCCCCACTTTTTTTAAGTTCATAACCTGGACATAGGACAAGTACCTGAGCTTTGTTTGCTTCATGCATAACATAAAATGAAATCGAGACTTAAAAAAAACCATTTGGGCTTACAAATTTTATACTACCCTATCTTTCTCATGAACAGATAGACTACCAAAGTGGATGACGTACTGTCTTATACTTTACCTCAATCTTTTCAACCGTCTCTTTATTAATAATTTGTTTCTTCATCATAAGGTAAAAAAGACATACAATGGTGTTCTAAGTTGTTGTATTATACATTAGAAAAAACTACGGTTCTAACTCCTGTATACTGTTATCACTGGACCTCTGCGTAGTTATATCGAGCACTGCTTCGTAACTTGGCCATACCTTTAGAGAAACGCACTTGATTGCCCTGTCTCCTATGGCACTGCGAATCTCATCCAGCCCGAGAGCAATATGTAGAGCTTTCTCTTTTGAGATGATGTCCAGTTCTTCCCTGGGTACTTTAGTTACAAGTTTCTCAGGTCCATTAACCTGTAGATATTAGAATGGAATATAGAGCCTATGTCAACTACCTAACAAATGCAGTGTGAAATTTTTGTTAATCTCCAAGCCTCCCAAGGAGCATGAATAGATAGTTTTTATATGAGAGTTAAGTCTTTTTAATCATAGAAATGTAAAGATAAAATTTCTCAACCTTTTCATGAATAGGATGGGTGTTAAGTTTTTACATCGATGTGTCCAGTGAAGTTATTCAAGTATCTTTGTAAAACTTGGACTACTCTCAGGGCTTTTTTTTTAATATTCTTGTAAAATAAAAATGTGAGCCCATGTAACATTTTGAACCAGCTTTTTTAAATTCTAGATAACTTGCAATGTGTTGTTAAACATTTACATGGATAACATAATCAGAAACTAGGTATTACTTTATTAAAAGTTACAGCTTTTAAGTGTTAGAATTGATAATGGGTACTTATGCATGTATATATTTATGGCTAAGTATAAAAAAATGTGAAATATTTGCATAAGATTCAGAATGTCTATGAGGGGGGGAACTTATGTATTTGTTTAATTTTTATAATAAGGCTTCTGATTTTTTTCTGTGACATCCTGACCACACGAACGGAAGAAAGATCAAGAAACTTTATTAATATATACCCAGAAACATCTCTGTATGTCTGATTGTTATCTCACACAAATTGATATTCAAATGCATAAGTAACCACTGTTAATTCTAAATACTTATTAATCCTTGTGTACGTAGAATGATTGCACTGTTCTAAAAAATATTCTTCATTACTGTAACTGGGAAAATTATCCAGTTAAAACTTCTTTTTAAAATAAATAAAGTTGTGATAAATTTCTTACTTTAACTCCTCAGTGAGGTAATAACCAAAATTCACACTTTGTTGGGAAACTTCTATATATTAACACTGAGTTTTCTATTTTGCAGTAATAATAAAAAATTAGTGTTGTAAGGAAGTTCTAAATAAGCAACAAACAGTATCTTCTACATGTCAACACGCGATTTAGAACCAAAGTATAGCGTTGCCTCAAAAAGTAATATACAAACTCAATACTTTCCAGTGATGATTATTTCTGCACACAATGTTTAATCTTTAACTAAATCCAGATAACTACAACCTGAAATTTATTTCAGCAAAAAGTAACAGTTTCAAACTTTTGCTCGAGCCTTTGGAACATAACGAATATTTGTTCCAGTCATTGTGACTACAGGGATTTTGGGAGGATGTAAGCTAGCCCTCGCAGGAAACGTCTTTCCTGCTATTTGTATTTCATACCTGGCATCTTTAGATATGTAATCATTAGTAACAACTTGAGGTTCTTGAGATTTCTCATCGAAACAGTGCACAAAACCGAGGCACACCACTCGCTCCAGAGTGAAACCGTAGCCAGATGAAGTCGTCATACCCACAAACTTCCCATTTCGATAAATAGGCTCCCTTCCCCAGGGCCAAAGATCCGTGTTAGGATTATGATTGTCTAGTTGAAAGTGTACTAATCTCCGGAAAAGTCCTTTCTCAACCTGATGTTTAAGAGCAAATTTTCCAAGGAAGTATTCTTTCTGTAAAGAAAAAAAAAGAAAACATGATAGTAAAGAGAAGAGGTGGCAAGCCAAGACCTAGTACACATGTCTCATTCTACCACTCGTCATGTAAAATAACTTGTTGATGAAGCATGGTGTACCTGAGGACAGGAAAGGAAAATAAGACATATGAGAAAATGTAAGAACTTGACTGAAAGATCTTTCAAGATTGACGAAAAATTAAAAGGTATGTACATTTTTTTTCAATTTCATTGATGATAAGAGTCTGAGTACAAAGATAACAAATCTTTAATTAAAATAATCATATTTTTTGTGTACAAAATACTTTAAATCTTTAACAAAATCTTGTTAATGTATCATTTCCACATGAGAAGTAAGCCAAATGGGTACAAACTGTAATCACAGGTTTCTTTACAGTAGGTGATAAATTTCAACAATAAACAAATGCACACAGTCCATTTGTTTTAAAATAATATATTAAAACAAGTCAAACATATATACAAATGTTCGTTACACAGTTAATCATCTCTTTTTGCTAAAGTCCACAAAGGCTGGTTCATTTATGTTAGAACACAATTGCTAAGATGAGTTATTCTCCTTTCCTCTGTTGTTACAATACAATCAGTGAGAATTTCACTTGCTTTACCTTGTGGGTTACCACAGTTGTATCCAGGGCTTTAAATAATTCTCTTTTACATCAAAAGTCCATTGAGGTTAGTTTAGAACCAAATTGACAAGAAGAATTATTCTTCTCTACTCTGTTATTACAATACAATCTGTGATTATTACACTTTAAAAGTCGCTACTATACACTCTTTATGGCTTAACTCACGATCACCCAATCTATATCTGTCTCAACATGTGTATACACTTGACAGCAATCTAGAACTTTCTACATGCTACTAGATATTATATGATGCAACAATACTTAATTATAGCAACAACAAAAAATTCAGAAGGTTTAAGTTACGTGACATCAATTCACAACAACTGAACTACACAACAAAGATTCAATTTGTAAACAGTTAAGTAACCAAACTTGCCATAACTATCACTTCAACACCTGCACAATATAAACTAGATAATATTCTTGTATTAAACTTAAAATTAACAGTCATACATATCTAACAATATGGTCAATGGGAACTGAAGGACTTAACATGAAGCTCAAACTGGCAGGAGAATTCCTTATCAAACTCAGTCCACATGTTAAAAACCACTTATACATAACGTGTATTTGTTTTAAAACCCCAGATTTTAGTGTTGTAAGTCTGTAATCTTACCGCTGATTGATTATAAAGAATGTAATGTAGCACAATATTCTTTACTGGCCCATTAAAAATATTACATTGTAAGAAACCTGAGAGTCATTCGAATCACAGTTTGAGGTAGAGATGAGAAATAGGAATTGTTTACTTCTCAAAAGATGCTCATTAACATTTTTAAGTAAGTTATTTTGAGAGGTATGTCAGGAAAAACACAAACCTGCATTTTCACTTTGAAACCACGGTTCACTTCAAAAGGTGTAGTGTTACTGTCTAGTTCTTCTCCCCAGAAAGGAATAAATTTTTCTATTCGAAGAAATCTCAGCGTATAATAGCCGACATCCTTGATTCCAAAATCTTTACCTACTGTCACGAGGCGGTTATACACGTGAAGGGCATACTGGGGAAGAAAGAGAAAATGTATCAGTCTATTGTGTGACATCAAAAAACAGAGCAATACTCTTTATGCCATTGCAAGGGTTGGTCTAGTCTCCGATTACAAATCAGTCCATTTTTCAGATGCACATAGAATAAGAGCAAGTAATACTTCTTTCTGTGATTTTTTTGTTAAAAGATTATTCTGTCGTTGACATTTTGAGCAAATGCTATTTTTCTTCCCTCAATTAAACTCAGAGTGTGTAGTTCTTGCTCAAAATTATGTGAAAATCTGTTTAAAGTTAACTTTACAATTCATTATTACTATCTGTGAGTTGGCGTTAAGAGTTTCAAGTCGTTTCAGTATAGTTTTATTTACAAAGGTTTAGTAACTGTTAGCATCATACTTTTTAAAAATACAAATACAGTTCAAAGGAGTTCATAAAGACATCATACTCACATTAACTATGAAATAGTGCAGAAAAGCAGAAAATTATCACAAAATCCCAGAAATCATATGCACATTTGTAACTAATGACAAGTCTAATTTCCTGACTTAGAATTGTGTGTATAAAACTATCTAGGGTTTAAAAGCATTTCTTAAATAAGGAATAACAAGTTGAATTTTCAAGGTTAAAACTGTCAGAAGTTTTGATATGTGTGTTTTCTCTTCAATCTCATGTTGTCTTCCGAAGAGGACACACGAATGTGTTGAAAGTTTGTTCCATTTACGGTGGTTTTTTGTTCTCTGACTGCTACACATAATATTGCATTATTTTATGGTTATACCTAACTAGACAACTTTCGTACCATTCCCCCAACAATGTTGAATCTAATTCAATTATCGTTATACATTAAGTTTTAGAATAGACATTAAAGGAAATTTCTCTTCATACTGGAAACCTTTTAGCTAAATTTTCAAATTTTTTGTAACAAATATTGTATGTTGTTTATTTTTCTACTAGTTCTGCATTTTGAACTATGAGAAATTTAAGATTCAAATTAGTTTCAACCCTTGAGAAAAAAAAGCAAAAAAAAAACTTTCAAAATGTTGGGTCAGGTGAAAGGATCATAACATTACTGACTAGGTTAAAGTGAAGCGGATTTTATTGCTTAAATATATTTCATGGTCAGAGCAGATAAACTATTTTTTTAGTTCTAATTTATGAGATCAAAAATTCTTAAATGAAATATTGATCAGACCAATTTTTATTTATAAATTAAAAAAAAACCTAGCAAATCTTGTACTGACTTTTATATTTTTTTAAAATGTACTTTATTAATGCTATTATGATTATTATCTGAATGAAATATGCACAAGTAAATATACCAATGATTTGTTAGGTATTAATATACAAACACAGCACACTTACCTCTGAAGGTATGTACAGGGAATAGCCAGGTTCTCCTGTATTGTTGAATCCCATAACTAATACTCCACTGATGTGACCGACGTGAAGAGTCTGACGGAAAAACATGGAATATTTTCAAAAGAAGCTCACCAGTACTCGACTGTCTATTCAATGGCCAAGTTTCTTTGATTTATAAAACATGGTCATTTTCCACAGTTTCACCGACAAGAACAACATGTTTTTTTTTTATTGTTAAGAAGTCTGATCCAAAAAGAAAAAAGGTTTTAGCATAAACATATTTCTCATTTTATGTAATATCACTAAAAAAAACTGATACGATATCTAATTACATATCAAAGATGACATTGGCTACATATTTCACCTTATTCTTCAATGGAGTAAGACACATGGATTACTTTATTCTGGTAAAATACATGAAAAGTAAATGTTGCGTCTTTCTCGTTGTCTCGGAAAGTACGAGAAAAACCACACGGCAACAGATACATAAAAGCGTAATACATTAACTAGCATACCTGAGAAGTAAATGCTGGCATGTTCATGTCTGATTGGGTCAACTCAGTCATGAGCTCCTTCGACTTGGGTCCAACCACATTTAGAACTGTGTACATGGAAGTGACATCGCTCAGTGCCACCGAGCCATCAGAAGGCAAGCGTTTCTGCATCCACTGGTTGATTCTTGTCTCTTGAGCAGTTGGAGATACCATGAAGTAGCTAGAAGAATTCAAAAAAATACAAAGACTGTTTCAAAATTTTTTTCCTTTTCGTATATTTCCATACAAGTAACTTTGAACGTGTGTTTCGTCTGATCATAAGAGATAACTGTCTCCAGAGAAATGTATACAATTTCTCTGAGGAGTGGGATACAAGAAAGTCACTTTCGAAGTTGTGTTTATAGCACCAAAAACTATTTTTAGTCAAATATTTTGTTTACTTCTAAATATTAACTAGTCAATGGCTATGTGTGGTAAACCCTACTATATAGTGCAGAAACGTGGACAAAATCTAAAGTGACTGCTAAAAAGATTGAGACGTATGAAATGTGGATCTATAGGAGAGTACTGAAAATATCTTGGACAGAACATAAGACAAATGTGGATCTATAGGAGAGTACTGAAAATATCTGGTATAGAACATGAGACAAATGTGGATGTATAGGAGAGTACTGAAAATATCTTGGACAGAACATAAGACAAATGTGGATCTATAGGAGAGTACTGAAAATATTCTGGACAGAACATAAGACAAATGTGGATCTATAGGAGAGTACTGAAAATATCTTGGACAGAACATAAGACAAATGTGGATCTATAGGAGAGTACTGAAAATATCATGGACAAAACATAAGACAAATGTGGATCTATAGGAGAGTACTGAAAATATCTTGGACAGAACATAAGATAAATGTGGATCTATAGGAGAGTACTGAAAATATCATGGACAGAACATAAAACAAATGTGGATCTATAGGAGAGTACTGAAAATATCATGGACAGAACATAAAACAAATGTGGATCTATAGGAGAGTACTGAAAGTATCATGGAC